TCTTCCAGAGACGTGATTGTGAGAGTCGCTAAAAGAAACATAGGCAAACAGAGGCTGAACAGAGCAGAGAAGGAACACAGTACATGTAAAGATTTGTGTTTATTTGGCGCTGAATGTATACCAAACCTTGGTATACATTCGTGGTCAACTCTTGACAGTGACTCCATAGGGCGGGGCTCCGTAAAAAAGAAACTGAGGCTCTGAGAGAGTAAAGAACCTGTTAAACTCAGGGTGTAGAGCCGGGATTTGACCCTGGCTCAAACTACCTTTAAGATCTGTGTTGTTGCTACCCATTTCAGGAGAGGAAAGTAAAAGAAAGGAAAAGGGGAGGGGGGAGGGGAAAATCTGCCTCTATCCAAATAAAGGAAAACTTTAAAAAGGAAAAAGAAAGATGAGATGAGAGGCTTGGGGAAGAGGAAAACATTACAGGGCAGGAAAAAATAAAAGCGAGAAAAAGCAAAAGAGAGCAGAGGGCCCTTTCCCAGCCGCTCCTGTCCGAAGAAACCACAGAGCAAATTGCAGTGGCCCGTTTTCCTCGCACACACAAAGTGCCTTTTAGTGTGCACGCCGGCCTCTGAGGGCCCGGCACGGAGAGACGGCTGGCGTCGGCTGCAAGGAGTCTGAGGGCCCTGGCAAGAAAACCTCAAGGAAGGCTTAGTGTCTGGGGTCATCGGATTAAAGGAGGCAGCAAAGCTGGAATGGAGGAGACAGTAGGGAAGGGGGGGGGCTAAAAGGGGGGGCTGCTGACCCCCGTGACCTCCTGCCTGCTCTAACCTGATGTAACATATAATCCTGGTAAACAAAATAGTATTAACCCTTGGAGCCAGGTCAACCCCTTCTGCATCTGCCTGCGACTGCCAGACTGTGCGCCCTGGAGGCTTAACTCTTTCTTGGGGTCCTCTGATGGCTGCCACACAGCCCTGCCGTCCAATGCCTTGAATTGGGGACAATAGAGGTTCAGGGAAGCGGGGGGGGGGGGTTCTTGGCATAGGCAAACAGATACATGCAGAGAGAGGGCTCTCCTCTGGTCATCAAAACTAGACAGGAGTATCTAAAGGGGAAAGCACACTCTTGGCTCCCCGCCATGTCTGACGCCGTGGTGTGCCTTGATTCTGTTAAAACGGGTCACTGTCTCTCTCCGGCCACCTGCCGAGCCCCAAAGGTAGGTTAATATGAAGCCATGTTATAAGAAGAGTGGTCCCAGATTGGGTGAGATGAGCATCATGGGGCACTCTACAGATACAGAAGGCTGCCATGTCCCAGACCTCCCAAACCAGATGCTGCATTTTAACTGTATCTCTAGGTGAATGGCGTGCACCCTGCACCCACACACCCATCACTCAGTTTGTGAGACATTGTTGACTTTGTTTACACAGGGTTCCTCTGTCTAACAGTCCTGGCTGCTTGGGAACTCACTCTGTAGACCAGGCTGGCCTCGAACTCATAGAGATCCGCCTGCCTCTGCCTCCCGAGTGCTGGGATTAAAGGTGGGTGCACCATCACCACCTGGCTGAGACAACTGTTCTTAAAGAGCATCTGTCGTAAGCAGAAAATGAGCTCACACGCTTTAAACATAGCAACACTCCCCCTCAACCACTGGTCAAATTTGATGCGTAAGAGACGGTCAAAGTCACTGCAAATTTTGGCCAACCTTATTACCAGTGTAAGCGTTGAACTAGGCAGACTGAAGTAAGAAAGAGGTGATGTTTCATATAGCTCACTCCTCATCTTGCAGGAGGTGTGTGAAACTTATAACAGATTTCCTTGGGTCAATGCTTCCTTACTCCTTCTCAGAAGTTCTGATGGAGGCTACTGCCACTCACAGCTCATCTGTGATGGTACCAGCCAGACCAATTGGAGGCATTCCCTGAGATTTTGTATGTTGTACATCCAAATAGGCCGAGATGTGTGACGTTGGGGACAGTCCTTGGCCAGCCTCCTCTTCCAGGTTGCCAATAGACAGAGTGCCCATCCTGATGGAGAGGTTCATAGCAAAGCCCAGGCTACACACACACACACACACACACACACACACACACACACACACACTCGGCAGAGGGTAGGACATGTGTCAGCTTTGGAGTCCCAATGGTTTCCGAGGTCACTCCATTGCTGGGTCCCACTGTGTCAATAAGTTTCCATTGGAGTCAGGTCAAGCTAAGGAGTCTTTTATATGTGGAAGAATTCAGAATCAGAGCTATCAGCTCTATGACCTTGGAATTCTGGAACTCAGACATCTCTTTCAAACTACTTCAAATTCTACGCATCTTTCTCCCTTGTTCTGGACCACACAATCCTTGTTAAGAAAGTGTCTTGGAACAAAGACCATCCTCTCAATTCCAGGTTCAGGAGTAGTCCTTGTGTCAAGACCTCCTCTATGGGGAGATGTTCCTGGACTCCCAACCTCCAGATGACCCAAGAGCCACCATGTGCAGTGTTTATGACACCTGATGTATGACACCTGGTGATCTGTCCCTATAAGCTACAGGATTCCTGAGAGTGTGGTTGTATCTATCCTAGTCACCATTGTATCCCCAATGACCAGCCCAGCCTGGAGAAGCACTCAGCAACCACTTTTGAACTTGATGTATCTTAAATGTGTAGGGCTGGCTGGGTTGCAAGGATGGAGACACCAGAGAGAAGTGGTGGGTAGGAGAAAATCTCTACCCAACGTTGTCTTCTGGGAAGAGGTAATAAACAAAGCCCTTAGCCACCAGAGCAAAGGATGGATGGATTTAAGCAGAATCAAGGCTGACAGAAAGCCTCCAACATAGCTTCCAGTATGGCATCCTAAGGACATTTCATGGCTAGGTCCTTAGGGACATCCAGACATTGAATGGATACCTTCTTTTCTTGAAGTCTACTCGGGTCACTTGTTCAGCTAAACTGTCCTCTTCGGCTCCCAACCGAATGACATGGTCAAAACTCAGTTCACCATCAGAGCCCAGAGCCAGAGGGTCCATCCTTGCTTATTGATCCAAATCCTCTGCCTAGTTGAGGAAGCCAAGGAATAGGAAGGTCAAAAGCAGGTCCCACCCACCTCCTTTCCAGTGTGTTTCTCAAGGAGGATGGGGAGGACACATGGACTTTCCCAATTCCAGAGCCCATGGGCCTTGATCAAAGACTCGGGGTAAAGAGGCATGGTAGGCAAGGGTGGAGACTTCCTGGCCACACCCGCCATCTGTGGGTGCTCTCTTCGACCTTTCTCTTCTCCTTTGTCTTCTTGATTTCCGTCTCAATCTGCCCTCCATTCCCACTCTACTTTTTCATCTTTTTTATTCTTCCTCAGGGAGCCACAGACTAAAGATTCCACTCAACTCCAGCCCTAAACCGGCCAAACGGCTAATACTGAGTATGAGAAAGACAACCCTGATACCAGATGGCTGTTCGTTGAACCCTTGTTCTGTGTACACTAAGGACTTCCAAAGACGACCGACTTCAGTCCCCAAAGCTGCCTGTTGCAGCACCATGAATTCATTCATAAACAACTATTTATTAGATATCTACCATGTGTAAGGAGCTGATGAACACATTCATAAATTACTTTCCCATCACTACCATGTGGTAGGCCTTGCCAAGGCTCAACATCTTAAACCAATCGTCATTTATTGTCTGACACAATCTCCATGGATCACAGGACTCAGGGTGGGTTGAGCTGAGTTGCCCCAGATCAGAAAGTCTCAGGAAGTCATAGCCTAAATGTTAGCAGGGGCAGCAGTCACTAGCAGACTTGACTGAGACTGGAGGATTGGCTCCCAAGGTGGCTCACTCCCTTAGTTGGCAAGCCGACGGAAGCTGACATCCAGAGATCATATGGACCTCTCCAAAGCCTGCTTGAGCATGCTCACAGTATGGCAACTGACTTCTTTGAGGCCAAGGAACTAATGGAGAGCAAGGTGGAAGCCACAGGAACTTTTATAACCCAATGCCAACTGTGACCAGTGTCATAGCTACAATATCCTGTGAGCGACCAGGTCAGCCCTAGTCTGCATGGGAGGGATCAACCCAAGGCTATAAGTACCAGAAGATGGACTCATTGAAGGCCATCTTATATAATGGCTGCCATAGTGAATGAATGCAAAGATAGACAATGGTCTGAGAGTTCATTATCAACTGAGTCATAATGCCATCTTAACATTCAAGGGAATAGTCCACAGAAAACGAACAAGGAGTCCAAGATCCACATTTAGTACCGTAAGAGCAAAGGCATGAACTTGACCTTAACTCCTACCCCAACAGGCTTCCCCCATCTTTCCTACCACAAGGTGGCCTGGATCCCAGAACAGAGCAAGCCACTGAGATTTCAGCTTGGCAAGATCCGGCACCCAAGGTTTGGCCAATCTCCAGCATCCTCACCCCTCCTGCCCTCTCTGTGGATCATTTATTCTAAGACCTGCTATAAATATCCACTCAGTGAAATACCTCGCTCCTCGGGTACCCACTCCCCACCCCTGGCAGCCTGTACCCTGCTCGAACAATGCCAGCTTGCAATCAGCCTGCAATCTGAACCCACTTTGCTCACCCAGCACTGAAGGACTGCCCAAGCTAGTCTGCTGGGGCATGCTGGCATGCCCCCAAGATCGCTTTTGCAAGTTAATGGCGCAGTAGTCAGTTGTTAAAAACACTAATTGACATTAAATAGGTGATGTTATCTGACAGTACACAGACGGCTCCGGGTCTATACTTTCTTCTTGGTTTCCTTTCCTTCGTCATTATTTTTTCATGCCTGGGAGTCCCAGCTGAGGTCAGGAGTCACCTAGGGCCAGAAGAGAAGGACATACAGATCGCCATTGGCTTCCATCAGCAGTAAGGGAAGCCCAGGGCTGACTTAGCCATCACGACACAACAGATCTCTTGACCCTCTTGCTGGACCACTGGACCGTGGTCTGTCTTGAGATAGGGGGCTTCAACCCAAGTCAGTGGGTATGCTGGGCAAGTGCTCTACCACTCAGCCCCAGCCCTGCCTTCTCCTTTGAGCCTCCTTAGGAAAATCTCTGGACCGAGGAGATGGCTCAGTCTGTAAAGGGCATGCCTTGTAAGCACAATCTGTGAACATTTACTGGGTGTCACATCACTTAGAAATGCCTGGCCTTTTACAGGTATTATTTCAGCTACTGGTGACCTCCAAATCACACCTCTCCAACCCTCCACTGTGGGGAGGAACTGGAACCTCCCAATAACGAAGGCTGTGTTCAAGGGCATGGAGTGAGATGAACACAATTAAGGTCAGTAACTAGAAAGTGTGTCCGAAGCCATGGCGAAATTACAGTCCCCCAGGTGCCTACATCCCAATCCCTGTGACCTTTGAGCATGTTAGGTCATAGGGCAGAGGATCACGGCATGGAGAGATGACCATGGGTTCTCCTAACAGAGTCACAAGACCATTAAGAGAATTCCAGAACCAAGTTGGGCACGCAGATGGGAAGCTTCCATGAGGCTGGGAAAGCCAAAGAAGGAACCACAAGGCAAGAGGTGCAGGTACCCCTGGAGGCAATGGATACCTCCTAGGCGCCTCCAGAAGGAAGCAAGTCCTACACACGTGTTGATTTTGGTATGGTGACAGCTATGCAGGACCCTCTCAACTCCCAGAACTGGAAGGTGACCAGTGTGTCCTGTTTTAAGTCACCAAGGTCCTTGTCAACAGCAGCCAGGCACCAACGTGCCTGGTCACACTCTGAACAACCATAAACATGACACCCTTAGGGGACACCTTAGGAAAAGAGGTTCTCTCCTTCCACTGTGTGGGTTCTGGGGATTGAACTCGGGTCTTCAGGTTTGGAGGCAGGCACCCTTTATCCCTGGAGTCGTCTCCTTGGCCATGATGGGTGAGTTTTGAGCCTGGAATACCAAACACCTGCCTCACTCACCTTCCTTCTTTCTTTCTCCCCTCCCCGCACCCCTGCCCATCCTTTTCTACATCTGTCCTTTCCTCCCTTCCTTATGCCTTGCGCCCTCCTCCTCCTCCATCTTTCTCTTCCTCCTCCTCTTCCTTTTCCTTCTTGTCTCCCCTCCCCTTCTTTTCTGGTTTCAGTTTCCTGAAAAAGGCTCTCACAGATGCCAGGCTGGACTACCACTCAGTATGTACCCGAGGATGGCCTTGAACTCCTCATCCTCCTGCCTCTACCTCCCAAGTGCTGGGATTAGAGGCACGTGCCACCACGCCCGGCTCACACACATGCTTTCTGTCCCTGCAAAGTGGAGACACTGAGAGGCATCCAGGATGCCAGTCACCTACTGAGAAGCCAGTTAAGTGCCTTGAGATGCGGAGACATTCGGGACGAGCAGAGGTGCAAAGGTATGCCACATGGAGGCTCTCCCTGCCTGGATAGCATCCGGGGGTAGATGGAAGGGAGGATTCAGCAGTGTGGGAGTTATCTCTGTCACTGAGGTCATCTTGGGCCTATACTCACCTCAGCAGAAGCTGCAGGCTGACAGGCGCCAGACCATCTGGGTCCCCCCCATGAAGGGATCTTGGCACGAGGCCTTAATGGCATGGTGAGTCTGAGGCGTGGGAAGCTGTAGGTTAGCTTTCTTAGGGGAATAGTGCCGGCACCATGAGGACGTGGGGACCACAGCTGGAGACAGAGAAATGGGTCTCTGGGGGCCTAGTGGTGCCGCTGTAGGCCCCAAGGGATACAAGAGACTGGGCTGCCACCGGCCCCATGCCTCTTAAAGGCCATTACGTGCCGCTGTGGGCCAAGAGCTGGGCGCAGAGCATTTGATCAGCGCAGATTGGACCCAGCGGATCAATGGCTGGGTGGACCGCTTCTGCTCCCTTCCTGAGCCCACCCCTCCTTAACTAGTGTGGGCGCCAGACCCACAGCAGGTCCTCAGCAGCTGTCAATCAAAACCATGAAATATTCATCCCAGTTACTCTCCTTCAGGGACCTACCCAGAGCCCTGATGGGGCTGGACAGTGCTTACACGCGTGTAAAGGATAGGTATGGGGGAGGGGGAGAGGAAGGTGCTGGGGACACAGGCTTAGAAGGAGGCAGCCTGACACCTTGACACCTTGCTCCGAGAGAGCCCTCAGCTACCATTTCAGCTGCATCCATTTGCTCCCTGAGCTGGAGAAAATATTTGCATCCACTGCTTGGGTCTTCCCAAACCTTGGCTGGCCACAGACCACCTGCCGTCATTGTCAAAACAGCCATGGATAACAAAGACCCCGTTTCCCCCCACCCCATGTAGCTCAGGCTAGCTTAGACATCGATATGTAGTTGAGGATGGCCTTGAACTTCTGATCCTGCCTCCACTCCCCAAGTGCTGGGGTCATAGGAATGTTCGTCAGCTCACTGTGATGATGCAGTGCTGGGCATGGAACCCCAGTTTTGTGCATGCTAGGCAAGTGCTCTGCCATGAGCGATAGCCTGACATCCAAGGGAAACGATCATATAAAATTTTTCTTACTCACACTTTATGTAACAACATGCAAAATTAGCGTAATGGTTACAAAACACATTACAATCCATAAATTATATCGATGTGTTTGTTGCATAATAATGTGTAAACTATAAATATATATTGTGTATTTGAGTCTTTTAACCATCTGTATGCTCTATACTGGGGAAATTTAATTCTTTTTTCTCTTGCAGTGCTGGGATCCTATTCCCATGATCCAGGGCCTCTCACGCCTAGAGAGTCATCTGCCACTGAGCTACGCCCTTCCTGAGGTAAATAAATATGTTAGTCACTTCCAAGAAGAAGGTGCCATTGGCTCTAGTTACAGTGAGGGAACTGTGGCTCCAAGGGACATGATGACAGCTATGTTGGACTCTCCACTCACCCACAGCCTTAAAAAAAAAACATCGGGAGTTTGTAAGTCATTTTGGTGGTAGGCACTGAGGACATTGCTTCTGTGCTCTGACCTCCAGGGATCTGTGAGCCGCTCATGGTGTCTGTGGCCCCGTTAGACAGTTCTTGCAGAGAACTTCCTCTCTCGTCCCCAGCTCCAGCAGGCAGGACGCCTCAACAAACACACAAGAGGCCAAGAGACCCAGGCCTTGGGAATTCTTCAAGTTTCCTACTGGAACACAAGGTCTCTCGTGTTATTGTCCCCTTCCGAAGCCGTCCTCGTCCTGTTGGGTCCCATTGTCCTTTTCCAGCATGAGCCACCACGATGATGCTGCTTCTCCAGCCGAAAGCGAGCTTGTGACTTGGGGCGACGTGAGAGCCTCGCCTGCTCTGTGCTTTCACCGTGCCGGAGCAGCTTTAGAGAGCAAGTCTGATGACAGACACGTTTGGCTCGAGACTCTGAGGTGGTGTCCCATTCCACCCAAAGCAGAAGCCAGACTCCCGGTGGCCCTGTCCACTCTCCAACCTGCTGTGGCCTCCCAGTACCCCAGCCCCATCACCAGGCTGGAGACCAGGGTCACTTTCTGCAGCCATCGATCCTACCTGGGTGCTGCTCCAACCCTGTCCTCTGTGTGGGCTTTATGGGCTCCAGAGTATCCAGCTGCTGACCTCCTGATTCCCTCTGAATCCTCCTTCATCCTCCCAGATTGGGGGGGGGGGTCAGAGATGAGCCCCATGATAGCTCAAGAGTCAGCTCAGAGTCATCCATGCCCCTCCTCCCCTCTAACCTGGAGCAACCTTTCCCTTGGGCCTCAGTTTCCTCTCTGGTTACAAGAGGCTGCTGAGTTTCCTTCCATAAGTCTCAAGCGTCAGTCTGAATCCTCCAAGCACTGCAAGACAGGCTTGAACACCCAGGCTTCTTTCAGAAGGAGAATCGGAAGGAGAAGGTGCAGGTTGGAGGGGTCATCAGACCAGTGTGAAAGGAGAGGGGACGGAAGATGACATGGAAGGGGTCTAGACACAAGAGTGAGCCGGGTGCCCTGGCGCCTACATGAGCCATCCTAAGATGCCTGGGGCTTCCAGGAATGGGTCCCACGTCAGTGCCCCTCTGAGAATACACAGGCACACAGGCATACACATGCACGCATACACACACACACACACACACACACACACACACACACACACACACATACGCACACACCAGAGACCTCACATACACATAGCACAGAGACACACACAGACACAGAGGATGACCCCTTCTGCCTCCCAGCACGCCATTCTCCTCACCAGGCTGGAGACCCAGGCCCAGCCCTGCCTCTAAGTTGTGTGTTTGACCATGGCAAACTTTATACCATATACATCTTAACACAACTTGAAGGGAAAGCATGGCTTTCTTAGCGTCAGCCCACATGGCCCCTATCTCAAGCTTATCTCGCCCAGGTATGCACAGAGGCAGATGATTGCTTCTTGCCATGATGTGGGGAGAGCGGAGATGATGATGATGATGATGATGATGATGATGATGATGGTGATGATGAAGAAGAAGAAGAAGAAGATATGACCACATGTCTCAAGTGAAATGACACATACTAAGTGAGTACCCCAGGCAAGACATCCATGTATTCCACGCCGCCGCACAGGAGCAAAAGGGACCACTATGCTCCAGGTGGCCAGGGTCCTCTAGTATCTCTGTGGATTGCGGGTAGATGCCATCTAGGACACCCCTACCTAATACAAAGTAGCCATGGCAACAGGCATCCTTCCCTCTAGTTACAAAGACAAGCGGGGGATCCTCCAACTCCCGGTGTAACCGACCCCCCACCCCCACCCCTGTAATTCCCACCTGCCCACAAATTCAAGAAATGAGGCCTGGCTCACATGTGGCCTGTTCAGCCCCAGGCCGGGCCAGGAGGTCAACCGGACCTCTTGTGATTGCTCTTGGATAGACACTTCCTCCCTGCTGCTCAGCTCCCACCCCCACCCCCCACCTCCACCCACTAACCCTTTGCAGAGCTCTGGAATAAGTGGGGCTCTGTTAGTCTGGGGCCTTTGGATGCCACCGTCCCAGCTGCTGAGGCCACCAGCCGCCCCCCCAGGCAGGTGGGCCTCGAGTGCCGGAAAGGACCAGCACTTCCTCCGGTACTGACGGGGTCAGGGATGATGGCTAATTGGAGGTTGCTGGGCTGATGTCTGTCTCCGGCTTCCTGTCACCTTGCGTAGGGAGGTCACTCACTGTGAGCAACAGCCGTCCACCACCTCCTCCTGCCGCTGCAATGCAGGCTGGTCTCCAATACATGGCTTCTTGTCTGATGTTTGCCGCTGTAGCCCCTCAGGATGTCCCCAAACTCGCATGCTGACCCCTTCGGAAAGGATGGGGGAAGGGGCTGAGGAGAAGGCTCAGTAGGGAAAATGCTTGCCATGCAAGTCTGAGGACCTGACTTCCGCCCCCAAATCCAACATCAAAAAGGAAGGTGTGGTGGCTTCCTCCACACTGGGGGAGCAGAGACAGCTGATCTAGCTGGAGTCAGTGAGCTCTGGGTCAGTCAGTCATCTTGTCTCAAAAAGAAGTGGCGGGCCAGTAATGTAGCTCAGGAGGCAAAGTTCTTGCTGCCAATTCGGAGGGCCTGAGTTGGGTCACTAGGGTGGCACCTAACTAGTGGGCAGAAGAGAATCGATGGCTGCAACTGTCCCCTGATCTCCACATGTTCTCCCCCATATATAAATAAATACAAATTTAAAACATTTAAAAACAGTGTGGTGGTACACGTCTTTAATCTCAGCTCTCAGAGGGCTGAGGCAAGTTGGGTCTCTGTGAGTTCGAAGCCAGTCTGGTCAACATAGAGCTCCAGGCCAACCAGAGCTACATGATAGAGAGACCCTGTCTCAAAATTTAATAATAATAATTACGTGGACAGTATACTGAGGTATGATACCTGAGCCTGGGGTTGATCTATAGCTTCTACACAGTTACACACACACACACACACACACACACACACACACACACACACACACACGGAAGAGCTACCATGTCTGCTGTATATCCCAGGGTCTCCATTCCAGCTTTTTTTTTTTTATGCTTTATAGTCAGTGCAGAAAAGTAACAAGAACCCCCAAATGCAGTAGCTTAATTGTGCATGAACAGGGGAGTACTGTACCACCCCAGAAATGCAGGCTTCCTCTCCCTGCCATCTTTTAGGAAAGTAGCCTTGCTAATTGGAACAATTGTCTGAAGCCCCACAGAGACCCTGCCTCTGGGTCTTCCCGGAGTAGTCTCTTGGGATGGAACACGGACAGGCTCACACTTCTGGTTTTGGGACCAGAGTTTGGGAACTGAGGCAACAGACATGAGAACTAGATTTGTGCATCTCGCCGATGGATGAAGGAAGAAAAGGCATGGAGCGTTGTACAGGAATCCTAAAGAGGCAAGACATAGTCCATTGGCTAGAAGCTTATCAGGTGACCCTCATCACACCGCAGGGGATCCTGGGAAATACCAAGTACGTGTATTTCTAGGAAATGGAGGACATTTATGCTGGAAGAGAATCCTGCAAGGGTCTCTTCAAGGACCGCCACCTCCAACAACCCAGGGAGCACTCTCTCCATGATATGATGTTGTTCCCAATAAATACTGTGCAGGAGAAACAAGCTCAGAGGTTATGTCACCTTCCCAAGGCAAAAAATAAATAAATAAATAAATAAATAAATAGATAGATAGATAGATAGATAGATAGATAGATAAATAAATAAATAAATAAATAAATAAATAAATAAATAAATAAATAAAAGCTGGCAGAGAACAGAGCTGGGGTTCAAACGGAGACCTGTCTGATTCCAAGGATTGATGAGATGGCGCTGGAGTCAGGCACAAGTCACTTCTGTGTGCCTGGGTGACACCTGTTCCCATTCTTCCTTCTCTTCCCAGGTTTAAGGCCAACCACATCCAGGCAGTGTCATCCAAGGGGTCTGGCCAGCAGGCGACAAGAGTCAATGGACGCCACGGGCTCACAGGAGGGTAGATAGCACAGTAGAGGAACCAGGAGACTTTAGGATTTAGCGTCCGGAAATACAAAAGTGACTCCCCACCTGTGCCTGCAAGTTAGAAGCTGAGACCCCTTGGGAGGGGGAAGGCAGGCCTGGGAGGAGAGGCTATGGGGAAGGTGGTAGATTTCAGAAGACGGGCAAGAGCAGAAATTCGCAAGGCTGATGTGACCATCCCCACGGCGAGGCTGGGGAAACTGAGGCTGGACTAGGCAGGTACTTGGGTGAGCTCGCACACACAACAGCTATAGCCTTTGACTCCGGCCCCAGCTCAGGTGTGTGACTCCGCCCCTCCCCCTGTTCACACCTTGTAGGGCGGTCATCCACGGTGGTGGCATTCCGCCAAGGGTGGCAGGCAGATCTGGGCCCACCCATCGCCCTTTCGACTCCTCTCCCTGCCGATGAGGACACGTGACCTCCAAGGTCTCTCTGATCCCGGGTCTCCTTATCTGTGAACATGCTGGGTAAGCGTGCCTACCTCAGGCAAATGAGAACCCTCATCATAAGCAGAGATAGCAAGGAGTTCATTTAACAGCTGTGAGCGGAACACCTAGAATGCCCTCTGTTCTAGGCTAGGTAGAAATGCAACCCACCCCCCGCCCCCACCCTCTTGGCACTCACAGAACAAACAACAGAGAGGATATATGAGTCAGGTTCTAAGTCATGCAGGAAGGCTGGGTGACAGGGAGAAATAAGGAGGGGGGGTGTGGTGGAGCGCACCTGACCTTGGTGGAGGATGGCAACGGGGGTTCTTTTGCACACGCAGAGGGAGAAGGTGGAGACAACGATGATGTTGAGACCAGAAAACAGAGAGGAGAGGGTTAGAGAGTTGAGGGTCAGAGGAGACGCCAGGGTGGCTGTCTGAGTGACTGGCTGGAACATTAAAGAGAGGAAGCCAGGGAGGTGAGGGGCTGAGGTACAAGTCAGGGGTTTCCAGAGAAATGGGACCAAATGGATCTTCAATCCCCAGCACCCAGAAGGCAGAAGCTACGGGGGGGGGGGAGGATTCTGTGAGTTTGAGGCTAGCCTGGTCTACAGAGTGAGTTCCAGGCCAGCCAGGGCTCTACATAGAGGTCCTGTCTCAAAGGGGGATTTAGTCTAAGGAATTGACTTCCAATTGTGGGGATTGGCGTAGTCCCAAAGTCCCAGGGCGGCCAGCCAACTGGAACTCAAGCAGGAGCTGATGCCACTTTCTCGAGGTGACAGTGGGCTCTAGAAACCTTACTTTGGGCTCTTAAGGTTTTAAATTG